TAAATTACACATCACACAACAGTTTCCTGATGCTAATATGCCCCTCTAAACCCCTGGGAGGGAAAGACAGACAGGTCCGCCCCACTCAACGTGGATGTCGTTACAATTCAAATGCATCTCACGAAGAGAAGTCATATTAAAAAAGAAGTTCACCTTTTATGTTGTACAAAATTTTCTTCAATGTTGCAACAAGGTTTCAAAAGCACTTACTTTGCCAGAAGCCATTAGTACTTATTAGTGATATACTGAGCCACGAGAGGCATGGTGTGTGCTCGCAACTCAAGACGAAAACACCACCACAGTGTGAGGATTTGGACAGAGATGAAAAAAAAAACTGAAGAGAAAGAAAGAGCGAGAGGGAGAGAACAGAGCACACACGCTGGCTTTCAAGTTTCAGAGAGTTTCCATCTTTCATAAGGTTTGTCTGGCTTTTTCCAGAAGCGATAACTTCAACTGCCAGTTGTTGGGGAGACGTGTGAAAGCACCCGACATGATTCATGGTTGTTTTCAGCTCACAGGATTTAGTATTAGCAACCTTTAGTCATTAGATCATCAACTTACCTCAGCAGCACATGATTTTAAGGGGAATTCCACCAATTCTACACATCAGTGGGTTTACAGGAGAACTACTGTATATGTGGAAAAAAGTTGTACAAAGATTTTTTGTGGCTCCAGAGGGAGGCTTATCAGACCTCTAAGCTGCTCTTCATCTCTGCTTGAGGCTACCTGCTTGAGGCTACATCATCTGCTACCAGCATAACACACCCAAATCTCTGGGCTAACTGTTGTCGGTCAACTTGCATTGTGGGTAATGTATACGGCAGGTTGTGACAAGGAAGAAGAATGTATTGTATTAAAAAAGCCAATATCTGCTGTTTCAATTTTGTTCCTTTTGTTTTAGGGCCCTGACACATGAAGCTGACAGTCAGCTGTAGGTCAATGTCGGGCCATCAGTGAGCGTTTGACGCCCTAGCTTTAGCGGTGTGTCCCACAACACTGGCAATAGTGTCCTCGTCAGCTTTTATTTGGCAGGCGACAGCATGTGGGATCTGTGGCGGAGCCCATCAGTGAATAAAATCCCTCTGATTCGCCATTCAGCTCAGTGGAAAAGCAAACAAACAACTTAAGTAAAGAGGGCGTGAGATTGAAACAAACTTCTTATATGGAGGTAAAATTAATTTTTTTTAGCAATTGAGCTCTTAGCATAAACAGTCTGTAATCGTTTAACTGTTCACTAGTGCCCGGTAAATATGATTTGTTCTTTCAACATCCAGCTGTGTTGCTAATGTGCTAACTGGCTAACTAGTGTCTTGAATCCATCCTGTCTGCCTTCCAGTTTCCCTTTTTGAATGATGAAGACAGACTACTGCCGTCTGCTGGTATGGAGTTATTTCATCTCATGTAGAACATTATGTGCTATTTAGCCATTGGTTGTAGTCTTTGCGGTGTGTTCACACAGACAACGTGAGACGATGCAGCAGTTATCCTTCATCGCCACTATTTCTTTGATGTCGGTTTGGTGTGTCTGCGCCTTTAAACTGTCCAAGAAAGTCTGACAATGTCATAGGAGTGCAATATATGGGGGTACTTGAGAGAGAATTTTATTTTTGAGTCATAAAACATGTAACACAGTTGAGAAATTACACATTAGAGAGCTGTTACTTGCCAAGTTCTACATTTTTTGTATTTTTATCTAAATGAAATATATCACATATTAGCCCCCCAAAAATAGGCCACTGTTAATTTTGGGACCTATGCAGAGGCATTTCTGCAGGCTCTTGAGCTAAAATGAGGCATCAAGCCAAGGACGTGAGATACCTTGATAAGATAGTGTGACAAATTCTTTGAAAAAACCCTCAGCAGCCAAAATATAACCCCAGTTTGCTTACATCCAGGCAGCAACATTGTTATCTAAGCAGGGCACCCTCGACGGGAAGAGCAAACAGATAAATGAGGAGACTCACAGGGATAATAGGAGAGGGTGAGATGGATGAGCAGAGGAAGGAGGGGGAGTGGGATAAATGAAACATCTAGTGCTGCTTCAAAGGGAATGGTGAGATAGGAGATGAGGAGGGAGGATGTGTGCTCCATGTTAGATGTAAGGAGAAAGACAGATTGCCAGAATGATCAATTAGGGGATCAAAAGTATGTTGGATGTCAGGGTGGGATAGAGGGGTAATCTGAAAGAAGGTAGGACTTTGGAGATGGAGATTCACTGAGAGGAAATCAAATAAAGACTTGAGAACTTACTGACAACTAAAGCCCAAGAACACCACAGATCTCACTTTGAAGTGTCACCACGCATTACTCGAAGAAATTTGTTTCTGTGACAGTCCAGGCGAGCTCGCTCTGCATGTGACCACACATACGGGCGAAATGCAATTGAAGAGTCCAGCTGTCTAGACTTGAGCGGAAATTGGTTTAGGAAAACAGGGTGGACAGTTGAGTCCTGCCTTCAATTGGTTTCATTTCCCATTAGCAGGGGACTGTAGAGAGGAGAGGCAAGGAACCGTGTCGTGTCTTTGGACTTAAATGAATTCTTCCACCGGCCTCGCTCGGCCTGCCAGGAGCCAATTACGGGCAAACACTGAACTTAGCCGAGCTGCTGCCTAATGCATGATCGTTGTGAGAAAAGTCGCGTAAAGGAGGTATTATGGATGGAAAACACCATTATCGTTATTGTGTTCTTTCATGAGGTCACATTGGCTACACTGCCATAAAGATCAGGCAACTGTGCAAAACATGCAATTCAGTTATTGTGCGTCAGGATCTGCCCTTGGGATCTGGATTCGTATCCACCTACTTAAAGTCTTTTCAGATTGGTCGAAAAACAGAAACCCAAAGGCGAAGTCACAAAGCATGTCAGCCACCAAAACAAAGACGCAGAGAGGGGACAACAGACTGAGGTCAATGATCTACCAAACTACACAAACCAGTGCTCCCACTGTGAAGACAAAACCCTGCCTCTATGTGTGTGTGAGCTTGCACGCAAGCACGCATCTGGAGTTTTTCAATCACAAAAAGACAGCAATCATGCAAAACTGCAGTTAAAAAACCCTGGTTCATTTTTTCTTGTCTTGTACATAAAAAAAATCTTTTCAAGCCTTTTGTTGCCGAGTCTTAAAATGTCTAAAGACCGACACAATACAAATAACAAACAGCCATTTTTCAGACACTGTCAGACAAATTACTTTGCTCTGTGCATACTTCTCCACAAATCATATTATGCAATTAATGTCATTTTCTCCTAAGCCTGCCAAGACAAAGGCAAATCAATTAAAAAAAAGCTGTTCCTCACTATGCATACGCAATTATACTCACATAACTGGTCTTTCCAACTATTTAATATGTTCTGCTGCGTCTCCTCTGCTGGACTGCACAGCTGATAAAAAGCAGTTATGCAGGGCCAGCGGCTCTCGTGGGATGCTGTTGGAGACTTAACAGCCAGATGCCCATTAGACAGGGATCCAGCAGACCTGTGGTTGCTGTGAGGGACTGTGTGTATACCCACACTCAGGGCTCCTCCTTACATTATGCCCCTGCCTTACAGATGCAAAGCGGGAGGGATGGGGAGAGAGAAAATGATCTTTTATTGCCTCTCTATCTATTGGCAAACAGCACAGACACCCCCCTCCACCTACCCCCCCCTCCTAACAGTCCAACAATGTTACAACTCCTCTGGACTGCTTGCTCAGTCCCACGGCCAACAAACTACCCACATCTACAGTTTTTCATGTGGTGGGAGAGGTGACTGCCCGCTGCACTGAACACCCACTGAAGCCCATTGTGCACTCCTCAATCAGGCCTCTGCAAGGCATGCACAAACACACAGGAACAGGCTGGCAACAGAAACACATGCAATCACACCCACATTTTCACCTCTCTCCTCCTGTCTCTTCCTGCCATAAACAAACAAACTCAGGCAGAGAGATAAAAATATGCATTTTCTGAGCAGAACTTTTTTTCCTCTCGATTCCTACACCATCCTGTTCACAGAGGAGACGAGAATCATTTATTAGACCTCATGATTGATTCACTCTCAGCAGCCTCTTTTTTTCTGGCTCATGAAAAACACAAGATGTGTACTCAGTTCAAAGTCCAAACCTTCGGGCAGCTCCTCCCCAGAGTTTGAAAATGTTTTCTGTATCAACACAGGTTCTCCTCCTAAGCACAAGGCCGCCCTGCAACGAGCTCAGGTTTGATTCTGGTGGCTGATAAGCTCCCCAACGAAAGAATCAACTCATTTAAAGGCCAGAGGTGACTGAAACCACAGCAGATTGTCTTATTGTGAGGTCACAGGGTTAATGATGGGTGTGATGACCACCACCTGGATGTGTGGAGGTCATCCTAAACATTACACATTTTACTGACCCATTCATTAGGGCTGCTGCAGTTTTAAAGCCTGACGTGCCAAGAAGAATGACTTTTGTTTGACTTGTGTGTGTGTTTTGTGAATGAGGTGCAATGTGGAGAATGGGTTTAGCAGACTGCAAAGAAAGGAAAGACTGGTGACAACTTAAACCATGTGACAGTTTGGGAGTTAGTGGCCATCAGACTGGGTAAGGATTGGAACTGAAAACGTGTGAAAGCAATGGTCTTGGCACAAATCAGGACTCAGAATAGTGTTTTAGGATCCACATTTAGAAAGATGTTGAACAGTCTGAACTGAGTCTAGACCATGATGTACACTGACAGAGTATTTCAGCTACGCAGTCGGCAAATGCCACAATGTATCTGCCACACAAACGTGCAGAGACCCGGAGCGCAACGTTACACCTCATATGCGCTTCTCAGCAGTCCGTGGCCACCGTCCAGAGCTGCTGTGCCCGCCTCACACCGAGACTTACAGACGCCAAGCCACAGAGTGAGAAGCAGACACATACACAGAGACACAGACAGCTGGAAATATCCGCTGTAATATTATTATAGCCGCTTATTATGGAGTAAAGTGCGCGGGGAGGAAACGCGCGAAGGGTTTAAAGGAGTTTGTCAGTACTTACCTAGAAGACACGGAGAAGTGTGCGTTGACAGCAGTCCAAACTTTTAGATGAAGTCTGTCTCAGACGAAGTAAAGCTGCCCTGACCAACACACGTCCACTGAATAATCCAAACTGTGCTCTGGAACAGTTGTTACGCTCAGTGAACGACCTCTGTCAAAAGTCAGAAAACAACAAATTATCCGGAAACTGCTGAACGCATCGGCTGGTATTAAACCAGAAGCCGGACTTTCACTGGACACTCTTGGTGTGAATTTTAAAACTTGTCGACAGTGAGGGAGAATATTAAAAAAAAAAGAGCGAGAAACCTTCCAGGGTCCCAGCGCCTCGGCCCCTCTGTGAATCTGCGCCCCGGCAGCTCCAACCTCAGTCCGGACTCAGCAGCCGGGCCAGCGGGCGCCACCAGGTGCTCATTTACATAACTGCACCGGCTGTGTCCAATCACAGCTCCGAGCAAGGTGTCTGATTGAATATTCCAGCAGGCACGCCGTCCAATCAGAGCTCCCAGTGGGCGGGAGCTGTGACCTTAACAACACAGGAGAAAGAAATTCAACGTGAAGCCTTTGGGGGCGATGGGAGTTTCTTTGTTACAACAACGCAGAGATTTAGGGAATATGATATATGATACAGCAGCAAGCAGAGGGCTCCCACCTTGTTAACCCTTTGCATGTAAGAAAATGTTTCTCTGCTGTTTTAAAACTGATTCTTAGGTTATTTAAACTTGTAAACTCGTTGAATGATCTGGTGTGCCTCTCAGCATCTGCCTGGGTCATTTAATGTGGACCCACAACACTCTGCCTTGGTATTTACCTCTGAAGGAAACTTTATTACAGAGTATTGGTGGTGTAACTGTATACCATTACTGCCCCTAGGCTATAATGACTTAGATTGAAGGGTTTGCAGTAAAACACAGAGATGGAGCTGGAACCAGGAGAGTTGTTGATACGAGACCCCGGGGGCAAAGCAAGAGTGAAATGGGAATTCATGTTTTAAAAGAGCCACATGTGTGTATGTTTATGCCAAATTACATCAAAAGTTGAAGCAGTCAGACACAGACAGACTGAAAAAAGCAAGGCTGTGCAAGAGTTACAGTATGTGTTGGTACTTGTCTGACTGAGAGGAGGGAAACTTTAGCTGGCGCTCAATCAGCGGCCAGGGACAATAAAGGTCATTTAACACACTCTGAGCTCCACCTTGGATAAACAGGGAAGAGGAACACTGATACTCTCTCTGCTGCCTAATGTTCGCTTTTGTGTGTGTATAAACAGGCTGTATGTCTTAATGTTTCCACTTGCATGTGCACATATCATCGCATGAATCCTTTGTACTGAAGATGAAATGAAATTTGTCAATAAGTCAAACTAAGTAACAAAGCACAGTTACTCAAGTCCTGTACATCTCAGGGGGAAATGTACTTTTCACTCCACTGCATTTATTTAACAGCTGTAGTTACTGTTTAGTGTTCGGATTAAAATTTGACATACTATACTTGTCGGCACACTTTTGCAGATACTTCTGTACTTAAACTTCTATTAGATTTTGAATGCAGGGCTCCCAGTTGTAAAGGAGTATTTTAAAAGTATGGTGTTGCTCCTTCTACTTAATTAACATAATACATCTTCCACTTCTGGTGCCATGTAATGAAAATTAGAGGCTATTAAGCACCCTTTCTCCAGGACAAACACGAATGTGTGTTTAAATGCTTGTGTGTAGGATTTAGTGGCATCTAGCTGTGAGAATTGCAGATAGCAACCAGCTGAAACTTCTCCTGGTTAGAATTCTGGCAGTGTCTATTGTTAAGGTGGTTTCTACCAGGAGCCAAATTATCTGCAAAGGTCTCTTCCTGTCCCAAACAGACCAAATGATTAGAATCAGTAGAAACACTGAATATAGCAGTTCCACGTTACAAATCAGTGTTTGTCCTATGCTCTTAGGCTAATCACAGAGCGGCTTCTGACTACAGTGGCCAACACGAACACACAAATGGCCCTATCTAGAGCCACTGTTTGGTGTGTCTGTTCTGGGCTACTGTAGAAACATGGCGGTGCAACATGGCAGACTCTGTGGAAGAGGACCTGCTCCCTATGTAGATATAAACAGCTCATTCTAAGGCTATGGAAACTTGTTCATATTTACTATATCTGCCAATATGTCCGCCTAAATCCTACACACTGGAGCTTTAAGTAAATTATCTGAATATGTTTTCCACCACTGATGCCATGTTTTTGAAATTAGAGGCTTTAAAATGTTCCAGGACAAACACGAGTGTGTGTGTGTTAATGATTGTTTTTAAAGTGTGTTTTTACCATATATTCATTATGATGATAAAAAATGAAAGAAAGATAAATTAAAAAGTAATACAACATATGGAAATAAAATACATAGCTGCAGGCGCTGTGTGCTTATGCACACAAATACAACATATTTTCTATTTGTTGATCAATTCTCATGAATTTCTGCTTTTTATCTTGACTTATTTTCTGTGTCTGCTCCTGCTCCATTCAGGCCACATTTACCCCAGCCCACCCCTCCACTGCACCCTCCCTCCCTCCCTCGCTCCCTCAGTGTCTTTGTGTTTATAAAGACTTTAGCTGGACTTTCATATGGCCTGGCCTCATTCTCTCTGCATATCATTAACATTCTCTCACCACTTTTCAATTCAAAGCTAAACCAAACCAAAACACTCCTCTCTCTCCTCTTGTGTTTAATGGTTAAGCCTCCATACTTCAGTGCTGTACATAAAAACTAATCTTAGCAGAGTTTTTTTTCTCTGTTTAGCTGCGCTGCGTTCATGATTTATTAATGTTTCCTGGTTATCTGTTTCATACAGGCGTTGATTTTTTATCTAAACCTTGTTCTCCAATAATGCTAAACAAGTAAAAAGGGTGATGAGCTTAAGCTGAAATGAAAGGGATGATGAAGAAATCATTGTGGATATTCAAGAGTGATTATCCATGACGTTCACTGATTCCCAGAAATTATCCTGCTGATGAGTGCAGTAATTCTTAGCTCTCTCTCCACAGAGCCGTTCCCTTCTCTTTTCAGCCCTTTCTGTGGTGCAGATCGTCCAACTGGCTCTGCTTTGTTCGTTGTCCCGGCAACTGCAAATCCCCTGGCAGAAATTATGACCTTTTTCACTATTATTTCTTTTCTACCCTGTGCCTCCTCTCTCCTATTCTTTGTGTATCTCACTTTCTTTTTGCCCTGATCTCTATTTTAATATTTCTTTTTTTTTCTTCACAAAATATGTTTCGTTCCTCAGTAGAGTTTTAGTTTGTTGTCACTAAACCTCCTTTTCTCCCTCCTCCCTTTCTACTCATTCTCGCTTTGAGTGAAAACCAGTGGAGCATAAAAAGCAGGTCTGATCCTGTGAGGAATTCACTGAGAGAGAGAGTGAGAAAGGGAGACAAACAGAGTGAGAAAGATAGAAGTTCAAGTTGTATTGCACTTATGAGTCAGCAAGGACACCAAAGCACTCTGTGTGATAGGTAAGGAAAGATAAAGAGAAGGAGAAAGAATGAGTTGCCCGAAACATCAATGGTCTGTCAAAAAGAAGAAAGAAGGTTTTCAAAAGAGAGGAGTGTGTTAGAAGTTAAAAGAAAGTCCTTACTTTTTAAAAAAGGTTATTGAATTCAGCAGAAAATTACCATTTTCATTCCGCGTTTCTATTCATGAGGGATGACAGATGATCTATTGCCTGTCATTTTGACTGCATAGTCTGAATTTATCACTTCTCTTACATCACTATAGTAAAAAAAACACCCACAAACATCTGAATTAGAAATGGAAGTGTTCAACTCAAAGGCATGGTACAACACACACACACACACACACACACACACACACACACACACACACACACACACAAGCGGGCTGTCCACCCCCTGTCATGGACTGACAGCTGTGCAAGGCTGCAGGGTTCAGACAACACAGATCATTTGCAGAATGTGAAGCTTGCAGTATGTTGGGAACCGGCGTAAAACCACATACCAAGCATACTACCCTCTGAAACTTCTCCACCAGGCTTTTTCACTGGAAATATCCAAAACCAATAAATGTCTGATTTGCAATGGTCAACGAAACCTCGAGAGAGCCCCACGGCTCCTTTTACCACAAAATACCATCTTTTTTTCACATGCATGTCTGACTTGAGGTCCGGGTTTGACTTAAACACACATGTATGCATGTGTGAGAGTGTGCATAGTATGTCTGTGTAAATGTACAACTCTCCATGCACCTCTGTGTTCCCCCCTAATGTCTGTTTACCATGACTTGTCTGTGCTCTGTCAGTTTTCGTGTCACAGGCCCGGGGCAGGTTGTATTTGATTGGCCCCTGGAGAGGATCTGGGACTGGTGGAGGTGTCAGGGGGTCATAGGGTCAGTGTCTGCCTCAGAGGGAGGTTCTTGGGTGGGGGTCAGAGTGGGCGTCAGTTTTGGAGTTCTCTTTTTAGGTGCCCGGTGAAGAAAACAGTTGCGTCAGCTCCTCTCACTTTCCACAGAGTTCTCTGACTAGTCTCTATTCGCTTGCTGTTGTTTTTGTATTTTTGGATTCAAGATTCTTTTTGTACTTTCTCAACAAGGTGGTGTGAACCTATACTAGCCGCTCTGTGAGGCTGCTCTTAGGCACAGTGATGCTTTAAAGGTCCAGTGTGTAGGATTTAGGGGAATATAGTGGCCTACATGGAATATAATATATAAAGTAGGTTTTCTTTAGTGTATAATCACCTGAAAATAAGCATTGTTAAGTTTTTGTTCCCTCAGAATGAGCCGTTTACCTACATAGGAGCAGGTCCTTGTCCATGGAGATCCCCATGTTGCACTGCCATGTTTCAACAGTAGCCCATGATGGACAAACCAAACACTGGCTTTAGATAGGGCCATTTCTGTTTTTGCATCCGCCACAAGAAAAAACACTGACTTTTTGACATGAAATTGCTTTATTTAGTGTTTTTTATCACTGGATCTGTTTGTTTTGGAGAGGAACAGACTTTGAAGGATAATTCAGCTTCCAGTAAAAACGTCCTGAACATCTGGATCTGAAGTTGTCAGAAAAGATGAGCAACCATTAGCAGGTGCTGGGCTAGCAGCCCATCTCCATCATGCCAAAAAGAAACACTGATTTGTAATGTGAAACTGATTTATTCAGTGTTTCACTGGCTGTAATCATAAGGTTCATTTGTTTTGGAGACAATGGGACCTCTGCAGATAATTCAGCTTCTGATAAAAACCCCTGAACAATGAACACTAAAGGAAATCTAACCGGGAGAAGTTTCAGCTGGTTGCAATATGAAATCCTCACCACTAGATGCCACTAAATGTCCCTAAAACTCATGCACTGTTCCTTTAAGCTAAA